GCTGAGGCAGTAGGATTTCTTAGAATAAATATGTATCACTTTTACACTAAATAAAACATTATTATTCTACAGGGTCACTCTCTGTCATGCAGGCTGGAGTGGAGTGACACAATCACAGCTTGATGTAGCCTGGATCTCCTGGGCTCAAGCAATAACTCCTGCCTCAGCCTCCTGAGTAGCTGGGACAATGGGTATGCAGTACAACTCAGCTAATTAAAAAAAAATTTTTTTTGTAGAGACGGGGTCTCATATGTTGCCCAGCCTGGTCTTGAATTCTTGGGCTCAAGTTATCCACACACCCCAGCCTCCCAAAGTACTGGGATTATAGGCGTGAGCCACAATGCCCAGCTGGGCTGTATCCTGTCACGCTACTATCCCTTTTCAATCTCTAGCCCCCAGATCCCTGCCATACCAAAATCTCCCTATAAAACAGCAACTTTACCAGACACTGCCATAGTGTCGCTGATCCATGCAATGGAAAAGATCCAGTCCTTGTGTCCATCCTTGGAGAGCAGGGAGTAACAGGTACAGGAAGGAAAACAAGAAATTAGTGAAATAAGGATTGTAATGAACTCTCTAGAGAAGCATACAAGTCAGACTGAAAATACTTTTGTAAAAATTACAACTCTGATCTCTCAACCCATAAAGCATGACCACACAATCTTTACCTATCTTAAGGAGCTTAAAGCTGGAATGAAATTGGCACTACTGTGGGTAGTGGACACATAGCTCTTTCCTTCTACCTCTGGGTCCCATCTTCTATCTGGAACTCTCTTCCTCCAGACATCTAGACGTCTGCATGGCTGTGCCCTCATTTCCTTTAAGTCTCCCTGTTCAAGTATCATCCTATCAATGAAACTTCCTCTATCTTCTGATACAGCATCCTCCACCTCACCCTCAGTCCCTTTATGCTGTCTTTATTCTTCTCCATGGCACTTATCACACTCTGACATATTACTGGTATTAGTTTATACGGTTTATATTTTAGTTTATATGTCACTCTCCACTAGAACAGGCTTCAAGAGGACAGGGGCTTTATCTGTTCTGTTCGCTTCTGTGTCTCAAATCATGTCTCAAACAATGCCTGGCCATAGAAGACTCAATAAATGCCTGATGAATGAATGGATGACTTAGTAAACTCTGCTACTCTCTGACTATGGGCAGTGGGAACTATGTGGACACTATGGATTCAAACAGCAACTCACTATTGTTGGCCTCTGAGGTGTGCTGCTTGCCCCTTTATCTAACACACACTGGGCCCTATGGGGAGTCCAGTCCCCACTCTGAGACCTATACCTCCATATTTCAGCCCCACCGTCCCTAGAGTCAACAGAAATCTAGAGGAAACAACCCGCTCCCAGGTGGGCTGCTGAGAGGAGAGTCCATGTTAACCACTGAGACCCATTTAAAAACAAGGCTCCCTCCAACTACAACTATGGGAAAAACTTACATCTCCTACACACACAGGATCCAGTGTAGGTAGTCGATAGATGGCAAGACTGTTAGGGTTGTCTCCTCCAGTGGCTAGCAGTGTTCTAGAAGGATTCAGTTCAATGGCATGGATACCACAGCCTTGCTGGGTCACACCTCCAGGCTCCCGGTCTTTCAGAATGGGGATCTTGGTGATCTGGCTTGTCTGGACATCTACTACAAATAGCTACAAGAAAAAAATGGACATAAAAGCTGAACATAGTTCCAATTAATGTGCCCAATACAGGGTATTAACATCCATTTGTTCAACTGTTCGTCAATATTTAGTTAATGTCTATTACATGTCAGACTCTGGGAATTATTAAAGGCATGGTCAGGGCTACTAATGAAATAAAACATGCAAATAAGTCAATATAACACAATAATAGAGACAGGAATAATATACTACATGAACACTGATTAGAAAGTACACGAACACAGATTACAAAGTTCTGCCTGGGTTTCAGAGGTTTCCAAAGAGGCCTTGTATTAGACCACAGACACAAAGAGCAAGACCAACACGGTCAGTTTTCTGTCAGTTTGCGCATATTTTATACATTGAATCCTCACCTAACCATGCACAGAAACTTGTAAACAAAACACAATTCCCAGAATACATCATGGCTATTAATATACCTAGTAATATTACTAAGTTTTCTGAAATGACCAGAGACATATGACAAGGAAGAATTATTAGTATCTCATGGCTGCTCTCTATATACACACATCCCATTCGCTTCTATGCCTCCCTGCCTTTGCTCTTTCTGCTACCTCTGCCTGAAAGGCTCTCTTCCACCTCTTTACCCTCCAAGATTCAACTTAGAGAATGCTTTATGGAAAAGATAACTTTTAGAGAAAGGACAGTCTGTGTAGGAGTCAAACTCATGTGATTCAACAGTTCATTCGTTAAGGCACTCATTTGCCAGTACTGTTCTAAGTCCTATGAACACAGCTAAGAACAAGAGAAATAATCTCTGCCCTAATATTTATACCTTATAGCCTAAGGGTGAAATAAAATCCTGTCAGCAATTCTCATGGTGAAGCCAAAACAAGTCAGACCTTTACATAAATAAACCTGCTAGTTGCACAGAAGATCAATGAAAGGAGAAACCAGGTGAGTCTTAAGATTAAAATATAAAAAGGAGGTGGACAACGTGGCAAGTGCCTGTAGTCCCAACTACTTAGATACTCAGGAGGCTGAGGCATAAGGATCACAAATTTGAGCCCAGCCTGGGCAAAACAGCAAGACCTGTCTCAAGCAAGCAAATATATAATGTTTTATGTATATATGTTTTTATATACTATATGGTTTTTTCACTTTGCTTTCATTGGTGTGTCTTTAGAGCTGTGATGTCAAGACATGAAGAACAGCAAGTGCACACACAGACATGTGATACATGGGTATTACAGAACAGACTGTGGGTGAATAAAGAGTTCACACCACTTCTTCCCTTTACTCAGTAACAGAAGGCTCTAAGCCACCTTCTCATAGGACCACTCCTCAAACTCTCTCTTCTCCTTGGCTGTGGCATCCTGTACTTGGACACGTTCATGTTGCTCACAGCCTCAGTGAACTCCATCTCGTCCATGCATTGCCCATGTACTAGTGCAGGAAGGCATTGTACCAGAACATGACTGAACTGCTCCTAGAGGCACCTGAACAGATCCCAGATGGCTGTGTTGTTGCCAATGACGTGGCAGACATCTTTAGCACTCAGGATGGGATGTTACAGACAGCTGTTTTCACCTTGTGGGGGATTCAATCAACAAAGTAGCTGTTATCCTTGTTTTAGAGATAAAGCATTTACTTATCAACCTCCTCCATGGACATATGGCCCCTGAACATGGCAGCTGCTGTTAAGTAGCAGCCACAGAGGGGGTCACAGGCAGCCAACATATTCTTGGCATCAAACATCTGCTGGGTGGTCTCAGGCACTGTCGGGGCTCAGTACTGCTGGCTGTCCTGGATGGTCAGCAGGCCGAAGCCAGACGTGAAGAAGTGCAAACGGGGGAATAGGACCATGTTCACGGCCATTGAGCCGGCCCCAGAAGCTCAGGCAGGTAGTGACCCCACTTACAGTACAGACACCAGGCGGCTCAGGTCATCATAGGTGGGTGTAGGCAGCTTTAGGATTCAGAAGCAGATGTCTTAGAGAGCTTCATTATCAATGCAAAAGGTCTCGTCTGTGTTTTCTACGAGCTGGTGGACTGAGAGGGTGGCATTGCAGGGCTCTACCACCGTGTCCGACACCTTGGGCAAGGGCATTACACTGAATATGTATATAAATATATATAATATATATTTAAATGTACATATATACTTTATATTTAAATATATATCATATATGTTTATTAGAGACAGAGAGAGGAATAGCTAGAAGAGTGTCAGACAGAGACTGAGTGGAAGCAGGGGGAAGAGGGGAACAAATCACTCCCAAACTGACAACCACCTGAGAGCAGCAGACTCCCTGCCTAACTGGCATCATTGCTGATACAGCCCGCAAGCATTTTTTTTTTTTTTTTTTTTTTTAAAAGATGCGGCTTCACCTTGATGGCCAGGCTGTCATGAACTCCTGACCTCAGGTGATCCACCCACCTTGGCCTCCCAAAGTGCTAGGATTACAGATGTGAACCACCACGCCCGGCCAGCCCACAAGCATTTTAAACTCCATATGCCCAAAACAAATTACCTTGCTTCTCAAATTGCTCACTTTCCTAATGCTACCATTATCTGCCCTGTCACTCAAGTGTGGATTTTATCCTAGGTTACTCCTTTTTCCCTCATTTCCATCATCTTAGTCCTGCCCAAACTATCTACTAAATATTCTTAGAGCTGGCTCCTTCCTTTGCTTCCTCACTCATCACTTCTCCCTGGATAACCACAATTAGTCTTTGTGCCTTCAGGCAATGCCGGTATCAAAATTATTCTTTATATTGTAAGCAGAGTCATCTTACTAAAAATGGAAATCTTCCAATGCCAGTCCCCAACTAAAAAACATCCAATGGGCCTGGTGCGGTGGCTTATGCCTGTAATCCCAGCACTTTGGGAGGCCAACGCATGCAGATCACCTGAGGTCAGGAGTTCAAGACCAGTCAGGCCAACACGGTGAAACCCTGTCTCTACTAAAATTACGCAAATTAGCCAGGCATGGTAGGACGCACCTGTAATCCCAACTATTTGGGAAGCTGAGGCAGGAGAATCGTTTGAACCCAGGAGGCGAAGGCTGCAGTGAGCCCAGATCGTGCCATTGCACTCCAGCCTGGGAAACAAGAGTCAAACTCCATCTCAAAAACAAAAAACATCCAATGACTCCCCTTAACCTAAATCTGAGATCCTTAGAATGCCATTAAGACTTTCCTCAGGGCCAGACTTTGGAAGGCTGTGGCAGAAGGATTACTTCCGCTCAGGAGTTTATGACCAGCTCTGACAGCACAGTGAGATCTTGTCTCTATAAAAAAATTTAAAAGGCCGGGCGCGGTGGCTCAAGCCTGTAATCCCAGCAC